TGTCATTTTCTGTTTGTGAGTTTTCTTCAGGCTGTCGGGACGGTTCCGCACGGGATGAGCCTTTGGACCTCGTGACGGTGCCGTCTTGTTCCGATTAATGTTAAATGTTCATTTTAACTTGTCACTTCCTATGAAAAGCCTGGAAGGCTGTATTCCAGCAGGCGGTGGGACGCCACGTGGGATGAGCCGTCGGCCCTCATGACGGTGTCCACTCGCAGAAACAACAGCAACTAACGAACAACAATGTTCGTAGAAGTAATATACTCTGTCAACATAAAAACTCCGTTTTTGAGGTTCTTCTTCTGAGACCTCTTTATGACAAAGAGATGAACTAGCCTTCGGCTAAAAATCTCTCAAATAAAGATTAAAAAAAAAAACTATTGTTTGTGCTGTAATTGAGTTTTAAGTGTTAACGAAATTGTGCTATAGTGGATTGCCTCCCGGAAGCCCGGTTTTCCGAGTACGGATGCCACACTTTCGGCGTGTAGTTCTATCGAGAGTCTCGTGACCGTGGGCGAGTTTGAATCCGGTCCGGTTGGTGAATTTAAACGGGAAAGTGCTGTCCGTCGCGAGTGTTGGTGGTGATTCGGTGGTCAACGTTGCCGAGAACCAGCAAGTTTTCCACTTGCAAAAGTGCTCGGCTGGTGGTCTCTCGCCAGTGTCGGAGATTGCGAGCAATCTGAAGGATGTCTCGCTTGATACGCCCAAGACTGGACGGGCGGTAGCTGGTAGCCGTGAACGGTTCCTGGGAAAGCACTAAACGTGAACCTCGTTCCAGATGACCATTGGAAAGCAAGCACATTTGTTTTCGTTAAACGAAGTATTACGACAAAGGTAATTGCTATTAGATATTTTTGCAAACAGTGACAGATAGCGGACGTGCAGATCCCGGTGAGGTGCCGGGAAAAGGTGTTATATCGTAGACAAATGGTGAGTACAAAGTTTGCTGTGTTCCAAAGCGAAACATTAATCATATTTTGTCGTAGAGTGTAGTGGTTTTTAGAAGCTCGATGACCCTCGAGGGACCTTTCTTTCTTAATGAGTAGAATATTATGGGTTTAATCCGGTTTGTGTGTGTTTTTTTTCATCGATGGAATAAAGTGCTGGTGTTTCCGTTAGTTCCAGACTGATTCGAGATTTGAGCATTATTCTCGATAACTTTTTCAGAGGGACGTATCAGCTTTTGTAAACAATGCATTTGGCCGTCGATTTGGCGTAACTGGTAGCTCGCCCACGCATGATAACACTATCATCAGATAGGGAAAATTTTCTCCAGTTACGCCAAATCGACGATCAAATGCGTTGTTTACAAAAGCTGATACGTCCCTTTGAAAAAGTAAACGAGAATTGTTTTTGTAAGCATTAACTTAAATCACCGATTTCTTGCGAATAAGCTCGAAAACTAATAACACAATTTGGTAGCGGAATGATTTCATTATCATTTGGTATAGTTTGTTAGGGAGATTTGGCTTTTATACGTCAGAAATCTGAGATTGACATTGTTTGTTTACAGAAGCAATAAGGCCCAAATCTCAAATCAAACCGGAGTTATTGCTAAATTCTAGAGAAAGTTTGAAAAATTATGCTGAACTTCAGCTATCTCCATTAGGGTCCACGGAATAGCAAGTAATGTATAAAAACATTTAGATGCCCCCCTCGCGATCTTTTCAATACACTATATTATATAAACCATTAATTTCATCACATATTATTGTTACATTCATTCATAACTCTGAGCGTTTGGTACAGTATGTCCACGCATCCTTCCACCCTTGTAGATTCACGAAATGCATCTCGGTTTAAATAGATTTATTTAAACTCAAATCATTTCACATAATCATCTTTCCGGCATATGCAACGCAGCAGACTGGCCGTTTTGATGTTTGTTTCATATCAAAGATATGCTTTAAACATCAATGTTGACAAGAAAAATTATTAGGCGTTATCTAACCTTATCATTTTCCAGGATGTTTCCCGTACTGGCTCATACTGGCTGCGTTTGTATTAGATAGATAGATAGATAGATAAATTCATCCATGTTCAAGACAGATCCCAAGTTTTTTTTCAAGCTCAAGATATTTAATAAAATGTCTTACTACAATCTTTCACTTTCCAAAATTCAACCATGGCGTTCAGCATAACAACCTTAAGTCTTATGTCTTAATGAGACTTTATAAATCTTTCGAATTATTTAACTTCAAAATATCAACTTTATTGTAGAGCTCATAAAATCTGTCACATTTGTATAGTAGAATTATTGTTTATGATTCGTGGAACTAAATCAAAATATTTGAATTCTTGTCACCCTTGGCCGTTTTTGACATCCTCTTACTACGGCGCGGAGTGTGGCCCACACTTGACGTAGAAACTTGCAATATGGCCCACCATATGCCTTCTGCTGTGCACTTCTGAGATTGAAGGTTTCCGTCTTCGGTAAAGTTGTTCAGATGGACAAGACCTATCCTATACTATTGATGAACAAAAGTGACTGTTATGAACTATATTCTAAAGTGATTTATAAGTGGTTTAGTGGAATAATTGTATTCCTTATCACGTTAGTTTTGAGAAAATATTTTTAAATAAACGAAAGCTTAAATTGAATTGCGTATTTCTTTCTAAATGTGGATGACAGGAATTTCTTGAACATAGTTGGCAACTGATGGCCAAGATTGCTGAAGAGAGCGATATTCTAATTAGTTAAAATATCTAATAAAAGCACAACATATAAACAAAACTAAGCTCCATAGATCTCTGGGGAGTGAATTCTAAACTATGATTATTACCATATAATTGTTTTATTTAATCATAAAAACTTTGCTGAAAACAGCAACCTTCTATCTAGGCAAGCTGTAAAAAAAAACTCGAAACAACGTGAAGCAACAGTGAGAACTGATGAGCAAATTCTGAGCTAAACTGTTTACCATAGAATAGGTCTAGTTTATCTGAACAACTTTGCCCAAGATGGGAGCCTTCTATCTAGTCAAGATGTTAAGTTCCGGCAAACAATACAAAATTAATGTTACACGAGCACCAGCTAGCGAGTGAATTCTATGCTGAACTGTTTACCCCGAAATTGGTCTTATTTATTTGAACAGCTTTGCTGAAGATGGAAACCATCTATCTAGTCCATCTGAGGGCAAATGATTCAAAATAAATGTCACACGAGCGCTGCCTGGTTAGTGAATTATGAGCTGAACTCTTTACCATAAAATAGCTTTTGTTCATATGAACAACTTTGCCGAAGACGGGAACCTTCTATCTAGTCAAGATGTTAAGTTAGGGCAAACAATGGAAAATTAATGTCACACAAGTGCCACCTCGTGAGTGCAATCTAAACTAAACTGTTTACCATAAAATAGGTCTATCTAGTTAAGATATTAAATTAGTGGAAACAATGGAAACTGGATGTCACACTAGCGCCACGTGGTGAGAGAATTCTGAAAAAAAAACTCTGTTCCTACGGAGTAGCTGCTGTCGATTTGAACAAGTTTGCCGAATATGGTAACCATCCACATAAGCAGGATATTTAGATATACTGAATCAATTCTATCATATACTATCTATAGTTCTGAAGACCTTGTAGTCTTGAATATCTTTGCAGAAGGAAACAACAATCTACATGATTGGGATCTCGTGATATATTCATCTCTAATATCACAATATGCCACTTCATGGGTATAGTTTTACAATGAACCCCCCCCCCCCCCCCCCCGAGAGATCAGCCCTTTAAAAAAAATCTGATAGTTTAAACAGTAATTCATCTAAATTTACTTTGCAAGTAATTTTAAATTTCAGAATTCTATTGAAATTTCGTTAAGATGCGGCAATTATAATTTGGGGTCGAATTGACCCCAGGATACAGACAACGTTTGTGTTTCAATAAAAATTTTCCAATAAATATTTTTTCATGTTTTCTGGAGAGAATGTTATATTGTATTACAGAGCTCTGGTGGACGCACCTATTCACGAAAGAATTAGTAAAATCCATTGATAAATAATAAAGTTACAGGCTCTCAAAGTGGCCTAGGGTCGAATTGACCCCAATGTACAGAAAAAGGGTTGAATATGGAGTCACTGAAACTTATACATTCAGAATAGAGGTCACTCCCATCCCCATTCAGTTGATTCATTGTGTATTTCACTGGTTCTGATCAATCACGGAGTAGCAACCATTGATATGTGCAGTCAGTCTAACCTAAGCTATGCTAATAAATAAGGCAAAATCAATCCAAAGTTTCGTGTCGATAGTTAACGTACTGAGCTCTAGAACAATGTCATTGTTTCGAAAGGCTTATTTGAGTTTCCTCGTTTCAAAACTTATAACGACAACTGCCCAACTTTGTAAAAGTAATCATATGGGCTTACGAAAAAGTTTTCTTTATTCAAATATATTCCGGTGTACAATCGGACAGAAGTCGCATTCTTCGACTCCACACAAATGTTTACCGCTGTAAATAATGATAAGTTGGGTATACATCGATCCTGACAACCTATCCGTAGCTCGAGATGCATTCCAGTGTGATTTGCTATTCTACCATCTTACACCCTTCCGGTGAGGTACTTTATTTGTTTACGCAGCCAGTTAACTGACGAGCACCAATGCACTTTGGCGCGCACTTGGTCGGGATGTTCCTTGGCCGGAAACTTTTCCATCAGCACCACCCGCATCTTCTGCGTGCAAAATAATAACAACAAGTTTAGCCATTCTCGGCATCAGCGTCTGCCCGAGAAGACCACCCACTCACTGGGATGGGAAAAACGAAGACGGAAAAACTCGACTCGGCTCCGGCGTAGTTACGATAGTATTTTCCACAGAGCCGCCGTATGGGTCGGTCGGGATCGTAACTAAGCCCGATCCGATCCGAGCTGGGGCGTCGCGATGGCGATGGCGTGCTCGACGCCGACCGCCAGAATGCTGTACAGCTGCTGCTGCTGCGGGCAGTGCCTGACTGTCGGGAGGGAAAACTCATATAAGAATGCGTGGCTGCTGGTATCAGTTCATCATTTTACTATCGGTTACTGTTGCTTGCGGTTGCCAAAGTAGGGACCTACCGATAGACAGATCTAGCCAGAGTGAGAGAGCGAGTGAGGCGAGTGTGAGGGACACTGGAGGGAATCGCTTCCAGCTGTTGAGGACGGTGTTTGATCACACACAGAGGGAGCACACTTCCACGGCTGCTGGTGCTTCTTTTGTCGTCGGGGGTCGGAGTCTTGTTTGAGAAAGGACTTGCTGAGTTTCTGGCTCATGTGAAAAGGTTAAAAAGGCGAACGAGCGTGTGTTTCTTTTGCAGAGACTTCCTGAACGACAAAGCGTGCTCTATTGTTTCGAGAGCATAGTTTGGTGAAAGGCGTAGTGTTTTCCGGCGGTTGTGAATAGCGTCAACTAGGAATTGGCAGCTTCGGTTCCGGAAGTGCGCTAACAAGTGAAAGTGTTACCCGCGGTTAGAAAATTGATGAGTCAAAATGAATAAGTACCTGGTTGGAAGACTGTTGATCTGCCTGTTGGTAATGTTTATTGCTAGTGCTCGAGGTGCTAGTAGCTACTTCTACGATTCGGAGGAACCCTATCCCAACCTGCTGGACGGTAAGTGATGCATGTTCTGTTTCGAAATCGGTGCCATAATTCCACTCTTATCCAGTGAAGTGCAAACATATGGTTGCCTGTGAAATCCAATGCAGTGAAAGCGCGCATTTCGATGGGGTTCGTGGTGTTTGTCATTTCAATTTCCGTCTGTCCAAATCCATCCTGGGACATGAGATGGAAGTGGATAGTAGAGAAACGGGTAATATTAGGGGTCCTGTTCAATGCTGTGCACGTACGGTTAGTAAATATAATATCCACCAGATCGTGAATGGGTTTTATGTCCTTTCGCACACACTCTACACGGTATTGGGTGTGTACTTTTGTTGATTTAAGAAGTGCGAGTTTAGAAGGGGCTGATTATTTCAAATGGAACTGCTAACGGCTTAGGCTATTTTTTTTTGAATGCGATAGATCTGATTTCATTCTTTTTACAACGTCCCCAAATCAAGTATTAACAAGTATGAGTAGTGCCACTTTTATAGGAGAAATACAGTAGATATGGCCCGGGGCTCTACAATATAGGAATCGACGTACAGGCACTGTAATTGTAAAAGTTTTTTTTTTACTTTTCTTTGATATATATATCTAATAATACTTTCTTTTAGTATAGGCACAGCTACAAAAAAAAAATACCGTGTTGGAGATGCACACTAAGTCTACGGTTTGTACGGAAGTACATAATGTTTAGTTTTGTCACGCGAATTGAGGGGTGTTTAGGTGATCGAAATTTGTATACCCGATTCTTTCGGTAAATTTGACATAAATCAAGATTTTGGTTTTCTTAATATTTAAACCTGTTTATCTCCGGAAATATGGCCTTAATGGCGATTTGAGAAGTGTTTAGGTAATCAAATTTTTTAATACCCGATTTTTCCATTAAAATTTTTGAAAGTCATCATGGGAAAATAATAATAAAAAACAAAAAATGTGTTTATTTTATTGCAATTTCAGGTAATTGTCTGCTCTTTTAAAAATTGTCACATGTATAATGGTTTATTGGTATTTAAATTATTAAACAATATTTTACAATTATTAACCTGATTTTAATGAATATGTATGATTTTTTTTCGTTTTGTCTGAAATCTTTACCATGCTCCTAATTACGATCATTGGGTTCCGTTCATACTTTTCATTATATTTTCCCGATAACTGTATACCTTAACGTGTTTGTATAAGAAATTACTAAAAAGTCGTTGAAAATTGAACTTCAGGCAATTTTCGTAGTTGATAATTTGAATCCTTTTGTTAGGTTTGCTCATAAAACTTGTGGCATGCTTCTTAAGCCGATGTCTACATTCTATTTTTTCTAGAAGTATCCCATGATTTCTTCTGAGTGCTTTTCAAAATTTCCTAGGTAAATATTGGGATTCTTTTTGGAATTTCCCCTGAAATTTTCTCCACAATACTCTAGAATGTCTCTACAAAACACTCTAAAGATATACCTTATTACGTTTTTTTTAACTCTTTATTTGTTCCAAATTCAAAATAAATTACATTTCATTTTTAACCTAGGTGCTCCAGTTACTGCAGTAACGTACCAGCCTTAATTGTTATGATATATATCTAAGTGTTTTTACATTGTTCATGTCTTGGCAATTAAGTATTTTAAACAGGTTTTTTAACCTGCATGTCAGTATAACAATTGATATCTTAAAACTAAAAACTAAAACTAAATCTTATCTAAGTATAAAGGGAATTAATCTTTGCAATTGAGGATTGCAACGATTTTTGCCTGAAATTATTCATTATTTTGTTGGACATTTGTTCTAAAGTCTCAACATTCGAAATTCTATGTACCTCGGTAGTACTGTACCAGGGAGGCAACTTCAAGATCATTTTCAGAACTTTGTTCTGAATCCTTTGAAGTGCTTTTTTCCTGGTAGTGCAACAACAAGACCATATTGGCACAGCGTAAAGCATGGCCAGTCTAAAAACTTGTTTAAATATTAGAAGTTTATTCGTCAGGCAAAGTTTGGATTTCCTGTTTATAAGAGGATACAAACATTTAATATATTTGTTACATTTAGCTTGAATGTCCTCAATGTGATCTTTAAAAGTTAATTTTTGGTCAAGTATTAATCCAAGATATTTCACTTGGTTTGACCAGGAAATTGGAACTCCGTTCATAGTGACTATGTGACTACTACTAGGTTTCAAAAAGGAAGCTCTAGGCTTATGTGGAAATATTATAAGTTGAGTTTTGGAAGCGTTGGGAGAAATCTTCCATTTTTGTAAATAAGAAGAGAAAATATCTAAATTTTTCTGCAGTCTGCTGCAAATAACACGAAGACTTCTTCCTTTAGCGGAAATGCCTGTGTCATCAGCGAACAAAGATTTGTGGCAACCCTGAGGCAAATCAGGGAGGTCCGAAGTGAAAATGTTATACAATATAGGCCCAAGAATGCTACCCTGAGGAACTCCTGCTCTAACAGGTAGTCGATTAGATTTGGAATTTTGATAATTTACCTGCAAAGTTCTGTCAGTTAAATAAATTTGAACTAATTTCATAATATAAAGTGGAAAATTAAAATTTTTCAATTTAGCAATCAAACCTTCATGCCAAACACTGTCGAATGCTTTTTCTATGTCTAGAAGAGCAACTCCAGTTGAGTGGCCTTCAGATTTGTTTGAACGAATTAAATTGGTAACTCTTAAGAGTTGATGAGTAGTTGAATGCCCATGGCGAAATCCAAACTGCTCATCTGCAAAAATTGAGTTCATATTGAAGTGAAGCATCATTCTATTCAAAATTATCTTTTCAAAAAGTTTACTTATTGAAGAAAGCAAACTTATTGGGCGGTAGCTAGAAGCTTCAGCTGGATTTTTATCCGGCTTCAAAATTGGAACAACTTTTGCATTTTTCCATTTATCAGGAAAGTATGCCAAATGGAAACATCTGTTAAATAATTTTACCAAGAAAGACAAGGTACTCTCTGGGAGTTTTTTGATGAGGATATCGAAAATTCCATCATCACTTGGAGCTTTCATATTTTGAAACTTTTTAGTTATAGACCTTACTTCGTCCAAATCAGTCCCCCAGGAATCATCAAAAATATTTTCCCGAGAGAAAATATTCAGAAAATCCCGAGCAACCTGATTCTCAATAGGACTAGTAAGACCCAAACTTAAAATTATGGGAACTCTCGAATTGCTTAGCAAGTTTCTGAGCTTTTTCCAAATTTGTGATCAAAATTTTACCACCTTCTTTAAGCGCTGGAATAGGCTTTTGAGGTTTTTTCAAAATTTTTGTGAGTTTCCAAAAGAGTTTGGAACTCGGGTCTAATTTAGAAATATTATTTTCAAAAGTTTTGTTCCTCAGGGCAGAGGAACGCTTTTTAATTTGTTTTTGCAAATCCCGCCAGATAACCTTCATGGCAGGATCGCGTGTTCTTTGATATTGTCTCCTACGGACATTTTTAAGGCGAATCAAGAGCTGAAGATCGTCGTCTATTATAATTGAATCGCATTTAACCTCGCATTTTGGTACTGAGGCAGCTCTTGCTTCAACTATAGAAGTAGTCAGAGATTCAAGAGCATAATTTATTTCATCTTTGGTTTGCAAAGGAATGTTTGGATCGAAGTTATATTCCAATAATGTTCGATACTGCTCCCAATCAGCTCTATGGTAATTGAAAGTAGAGCTGTTGGGATTACAAATTATTTCTTGGGATATTTCAAAAGTTACTGGAAGGTGATCAGAACCGAAGTCAGCATGGGTAACCAATTGGCTACAAAGTTGACATGAATCAGTTAAGACCAAATCAATAGTGGAGGGATTTCTTGCAGAAGAAAAGCATGTTGGGCTGTTTGGATATTGAATAGTGTAATAACCTGCAGAACAATCATCAAACAGAATATTACCATTGGAATTGCTTTGAGCATTATTCCATGAGCGGTGTTTTGCATTAAAATCACCAATAATGAAGAATTTAGACCTATGACGGGTAAGTTTCTGGAGGTCACCCTTGAGAAAATTCTTTTGCTGGCCTACGCATTGGAATGGCAAATAGGCAGCTATAAACGTAAGTTGTCCAAATTTTGTTTCAACAGAAACTCCCAAAGTTTCAAAAACTTTGGTTTCAAATGAAGAAAGAATTTTATGTTTGATTCCTCTATGAACAATGATGGCAATATGCACGTTATGAACTCTCAAAAAGTTAAATAGCTCGTCTTCATTATCTTTAAGAGATCGAGCATTCCAATTTACAATTTTTAATGCTTTAAAATCCATTACTGAATTTTAAAGTCATGACAATATTATTTGCAAATTTTACTCCAGTTTGAATAGCATCAAACATGGAGTTAGATTTAAGCATATCAGAAATCATGTCAATTAATGATTTCTGTAAAAATTCCATTTTAGGGGCAGTAATGCTTTCTAAGTCAAAATTGTCAAAATTTCCGTTAGAATTACTTTGGTTAGTATTTTGATTTCTACCCGCTGCAATAGCAGCATAGGTAGCTCCATTAACTCGCTGAACATTGTTAGCAGCGAGGGGAGTAGGTACAGATGAAAAATTTGAAGCATGGGTGATATTTGTACCTACGGGTACGAATGTAGAATTTGTTCCTCGCTGACCGTTGTTAACAGCAGAGGAATTTGTACCTGGTCGGAAACGTGGAGCGTTTCTTACCTGTCGGTTAGAACGAGATTGTAGGATCGCTTTGCGAGTCTTACATTCCCAAAAATTGGATTTGTGGTTTTCACCACAATTTGAACATTTAAATTTCTTAGGATCTTCCTTCACAGGACAGTCGTCCTTTGCGTGAGAGGAATCACCACAATTCATGCATTTAGCTGGCATGTAGCAATTTTTAGTTCCGTGACCCCATCCCTGGCACTTACGGCACTGAGTGAGGTTTTGGAAATTTCCTCCAGTCTTCCTGAAGTGTTCCCACTTCACTCGGACATGGAGCATAAGGCTAGCTTTTTCTAAGGCCTTAAGGTTGTTTAGTTCACTAGACTTGAAGTGAACTAAATAAAAATCATTAGAAATCCC